CTTTTTGTGTCTCCCTCCAGGTGCGTGTCATTTATATATCTGTGATTTTCTTTATGCGCAATGATAATTCACCGCATTTTCTCAAAGTTCCAGATAGTGAAGGGAGTTTCTTCACATTTAGATCAACTCCTAAGAGTGCCACATTTATCAGATAAACTACACCTACTTATTGTTGTTTTATCTTTGTTATAACTTTTGCAATGAGAAGTTAGATTTAGAGAGAACGAATGCAGTGTGGAAAGTCAACTGATTGATGGTTTTACAGATCTCAAGTAATTGCTCAATATGCATCCTTGACTTTTGAAGTTTTCAACTTCCAGTTATCTACAGCCTTTGTTGGTGCGTGGATGTCAACAACATTGGCAGATAATAATCTCAGTCTGACCATTTCAATGCTTAAATTGACTCATTTTCTCATGTTTGGAGGTGATGCTGAGCTTATCACCACACCTCTACACTCAAGGGATTATTTATTTTTTTAATGGCCGCTATCTGACTATAAGTTGACCTCTGGGTATTTAGGTAAAAGATCTCCTAGGTGATCAATTACAATATAATACTGAGAAATTGCATTTCTGAGCTATTAACCACGCATAACAAATTGTTTTCCTGATGGCCTAGTTGATCATGGTCCAGGCAGACAGGCTTTTAAGATGATTTGAATCTAAGATGATTTTTGGATCCATGTTGACGTTCTTTTTCAAATGTTCAGACTCTAATTTTATCACGAAATAAGATTAAAGACTGGCCAGGTGCAATTTTGAAGTCACTGCCTAATCTCCAATGTCTGAAGTTGGACAATAATCCACTTAGACAGGTATGGTAGATTTGATATGATTCCATTATGCTCCATGTTAAATAAATTAATGCTTTTGAAAACATACAATTGCTTGGTTTTATGATGTCAGTCCTCGTCTTTTTCAACTGAGTTTGCACTGTGTGTATGCCTTTGGAATGTAAAGATTATATGATTTGTGACCTTGTTTGGCATTATATACAATAAATGGATGGGTAGCATAATAGCAATTTGGCAGAACTGAAGAGCTATTGCTCTGGAAATCCTCCTTTCCCAAGCCTCTCCAAAGTCTTCTCCAACCTATGTCCTACCTTTCAGGTTCTTAGATCTTTTCTGCAGAAATAGAGTTTCAAATGACGAGCACCAACAGAGTGCCAACCAAGTACCAAAAATTATAGCTATTAGAAGTCAACAAGATTTATTTGATATCTGATGTAAATTGAGAGACTACTTTATGAAGCAGGAGAAGAGACATAGCAATCATACATATAATTATTTGTGGGTTTGTGAATTACTCATTTCATGAGATTAACATCACAGTTAAAACTTTAGAACTAGTTTAGTCAGTCCTACATAGTAAAAAATCTTCAAGAATTTTATCAGTTCTTTATCTTTTCATCTTCTTTTTGTCATGATTTGCTTAACCAGACACATTGTGAACTTTTTTTTGAAAGAAGAATCCAGGCTTTGGATATAATTGTATTTGTATGTTAAAAATGTGTTTGTAATTATCTTCAGCTGTATGACCTGGCCACTCTTTTATTTGCTTCACATGTAGATTCCCTTAGATGGATTTGAGGCAGTTAGTAGGCTCCAGATTCTGGATCTTAGTGGTAATACAGCTGCATTATCAGAATATCCAGCATTTGCCAGTTTACCACATTTGCAAGAGCTTTACCTCAGGTAAGTTATCTGGGTGGAAATAATGCTTCCACGTGCGCAGATTCTCAATTAGTTCCTTCAATTCTTAACTCAACATTAGGGAGCTTTATCTCATATCTGTTTTTATTTCTTTTATGTGTAAGATAATATTTTTAAGAAAAGAAAAAGGAAAAGTGACTCTTTGAGCCCAGGAGAAAATATCTACCTTAGGGGTTTTTTGTTTTATTCTATCCTTATTGCAATAACAGCACAAGGCTATAGGCACAAGAAAGTTGTTTGATAGATTACATAATATCTATTATCTTGACTTCTGTTAAAGAATTTGTAGTTATAGTACAGAATTGCATATAAACTTTCTGGATCCATCCCTAAATCCATGTGTGCATGTATCTGGGTGTTTGGCTGGCATGCTTGATGCCTCTACCTGCACCGAAAGTAGTTACACTAGTCTACTGATCCATTATATGTGACCGCCATATGTACGTGTCAGACGGACTCAGCTACATGAAGTTCCTTCAGATATAATGATCCTAGAACGTCTTCAGATTCTTGACATGAGCCAGAATTCTCTTCAATCAGTTCCAGAGGTAGCATAGTTCTTTGTTAAATAATAGAACAATCTTCTGCACATTAGAGTTCCTCTTTGATTTACTATTATATTTGGGGATGCAGGGGTTTAAGAATCTTACATCCCTTTCAGTGCTTGACTTGTCTGACAATAGCATTTCGGCACTTCCCCCGGAGCTGGTTAGTATTTGAAAACATTTCTCTGTTTCTTTGATTTATTGCTGTTTCATGTGTGATGAGAATGATTTTGCATACCCCATTCCAACCCTCACTCCCAAGGAGAAAAGGAAAAGCAAATGGAAACATGTTTAGTATGCTGTTTTATCCGAGATAATCTAGCTAGACCTGAATTCTGATGGATAATATTGTATTTCCTAGCAGAGGTAATGGAACATGCTAATAGTTGAAGGTGTAAGATAGTTTCAAGTTAATTTATTTATGTTATTATAATGTTAGTGGCATTGAGACTTTTTATCTTTACTTCTTCTGCAGCAGTTTCCTATTGGGACTGCTTGAATTGGTATAAGTTATTATATGATTTCTAGGCATGGTTGAACTAAGATTAACAAAATCCATTTGATGTTTGTATTTCTTTCAAGAAAATACAACAATTACTGAGAGAATTTACTACGGTTTATGCTCTGTGGTAAAGTGATGTAATCACACTTAATTACGGTGCTAAATGACCCCTTGACTACCACCAACTACTTGGTTGGAGTGGAGCCTCAGGCATGGGGCTTCAGTAGCTCAAATTTGAGCCATGTGGCAGAAAGGGATCCTTTTTCTTAGGTGTGGTATCTAAGAAGTCTAAGTGTGATTCCTAGGTTTAATTATAATTTCCATGTAAGCAGATTAATCTGAATTGGTCCTGCATCATAGATTCTGGTATTGTTGTGTACTTGTAGCAAAATGAATTACGAAGAACCGTTCTTTTTGTCCCATTAGGCATTCATGGATTGACCATAGACCACATGCCCATCCTCACAATGAAAAGAAATGGTTCTTCGGTAGGTGGCTCACTTCACAGGATAAATTTTGTACCTAGCTGAAAAAATAAGTTCTATAGCTTCTGTCATTCTTTCTCTCTTGTCTCTTCATCATTTGCAAAATTTATCCAGTTTATTAACCATTAGAGTTTTCTGGTAGTTCTAATGAATTTATTCAGCATCCAACGTCATTTTGTTATGTTATTCTAAGATGTGAATATTCTTATTAGGGTTTGCTTGAACCCAGCCTAGATGCATTAAGACTCGAGGGGAACCCATTGAGAAGGTAAGTTATATCTTCACGTTTTTCTCTTTTTATTTTTCAACTATTAATAAAAATTTTTCCTAAAACACCCGGCCATTCAGCTGAGTGGAATACCTCCTTACCTTCCATGTAGAAGGTTAAAGGTTCTACTTTTGCCGTGTTCCCACCCTGCTTCACTGTAACCAATTTTTTTTTTTTCTCGAAAAGTCTTAAACATCTTCGAGGTCGCCCTAGAGAGCGTGACGATGCTTTCGTTCACATCACATATTATTGTTTTTTATAGTTTTCATTGTGCAGTAATGTAATTGTCAAAAGTTCTCGAAAATTACAGATAACCATTCCTTTAATAGTGGAACAAAAGCTAGAAAAAGTATTTGAAAAAGATTGAGAGAGTTTCAAGTAGCATTTTGACTGCCAGTTCCCATATCTTAGCAAAGCCTCACCTTTTATTTGTTCATGTTTTTAACAGCATTCGGAGGACGATATTGGACAAAGGAACTAAAGCTATTCTAAAATATTTGAAAGACAAACTTCCTGAGCAGTAATTACCTCTCTCTCTCTCTCTCTCTCTCTCTCTCTCTCTCTATCTCCATTTCTGCTGCTTGTGATACTTTCCATTTTAAAGTTATCTGGATTGTCTTTCATCAGAAAGTTTTGGGTGTGAGATATTTCTTCTCCTACTGCTTAAAGAAAACTTCTTTGTAAAACAAGTGCACAGAAGTGTTTTATGTTCGTATTTTGATGGCTATGCTTGCATTAAATCGGATTGACCTGCAAAACTAGAGCTTAGATTCTTGTATCGAGAATAGCAAATCGAATCAAATTGTCAAATTATGAACATAATATACTAATTAAAATTTACTGTTGCTTGTATATAATTTTTTAAAAATTTTTAAAAGTTACAAAATATATCTTCTAATATAGTAGATGATTAGAGAATGTTTACTACAAAATTAATTATATTACTGTTGTATTTCATAACTTATTAAAAAAAAATTATTTAAAAAATTTCATTCGCTTAAGAAATCACACACACATATATATATTTTAAAAACTAAATATGAAATTGAATCAGCATTATAATATTTATTTTTACTTTATTTTATCTTATTATGATGTTGCTTTATTGGCTGTTAAATCGTTTCATAGGCATTAACCATTCGGTACTTCTCGGAAATTGTTCAAAATCTATTTCATCTATTTATGTATTTCATAAATATAAAAAAAACTAATCATAATTCATGAATTTCATAAATAATAAAGTCAAATTTACTTACATTTTTTAAATCAATAATTATAGACTTTTTATTTTTACGTGTTAAAGGGTAAGTAACAAAACTATATAGTAAAAATTTGTGAATTCATGATTAAGCATTTCATAATTTCCAGGAAATTGGGAGCACCTAAATTACCCACTAAGTAATAATGATGAACCGACCTTCCTGACACCCTCTCGTGGGAGAAAATAAAAACTATTGCTTTGTGTATTTAATTAGCCATTAAGAAATTATTAATAGTCCACCTGCCAACCTCCAGGCCTTGCTTGCGAGCCGTAACAACATTCTTGAATGCTATTATAGCACGTGCAATTATTAAATATTCTCAAAATTTTAAGAAAATATTTAAATAAATATTGATTTGTCAATAAAATTAATAATTTTAAATTTATTCTAAAACATTGACCAAATGTAATTTACGGAATGTATTTAAAATTTGGGTAAATTTCATTTATTATTTTGGATAGATTTTAAAATAATAAAATTTGCATTTAACCAAAAAAAAAAAATTACCAGACTTCAAAATCTGAAAAATTGAAAAACCAAAAACCTTCTAGAACTTCCACCTTGCCATAACAGCGCGTATCTGCAGTTCCGGGGTGCCGCGCGTGTGAGCAATGAAACGGAGGGAGAATGATGAAAGTCTTCCTATAGTTTTCATCCACGTGGAGAATTCTGAGTCTTCCACGTGGCGGCTCATACTCTGACGACCAAAGCACTGAATGAAACAAACATCTCTCTGGTTCCACGACCAGCCCGAAAGATTCTTTTTATAGAGAGAGAGAGAGAGAAGAAGAAGGGAGTGGAGGTATATAGTTTGTGCGTGTTTTTGAGAGAGAAAGCACGACAGCGAGGAAATGTCGCCATAAAGAATGCTCAAAACCCTAGCTTTTTTGTTTTGATTTTGGTCTTGTTTTTGTTTTCTCTTTCCAAGTGGAGGCCAAGTCATCGATCCGTTCTCTTTTGCTTTCTCAGTATCTTCCCTTTCAGCTTTCTGTTTGTATTTAAATTTATTATAATTGGAGCTCAATTTGCAAGATTTCGGTGAAGAAAAGTGGAGATCGGCACCGAAAAATTCTCAATTATTGCCTTTTTTATTTTATTTTCGGTAAGACCTCTCATGTTCAGTACTTTTCTCCGGCCACTTAATTGGGTTTTTACCAACATCTTTAACCTGGGAGAACTGAACATTCATCTCATAATCTGCGATCAGTATCGCCCATTTTGATTTCCTTTCTGCATCCGTTTATGTTTGCTGTTGGTTGATTGTCTTGGTGCTCAATTTGCAGGAAAACGTTGAACGATTGTTCGAATTTACGATACCTGGGTGGTGTTATTGATCCCTTCTGATGTTTTATTTCCAATCATTGCATCATTTACCTGTGAATTTTCCATCTAGAACCCCGTTTCTGTATTCAATTTCCCATATTTTTCTTCCCTCCGATGTGTTCTTTATATGTTGCCTTAATTGCTTGAGATTTCGCCTAAAAATTTGATAATCCCTCTTCTGATCAGCCCACATTGTTCGTCCTCTTTGGCTTCTACCAGTATTGCTTATTAACATCAAACAAATTATTTGAGATTGGAAAGAGTGACATAACATCTGAAAAATGGCTGACCGGTATCGAGCGGTTTCCTTTGAAGATTTGCCTTCACACTTGATTTTGGAGATATTGATGGCCGGCCGGCTTAGTGCTGTCGATCTTGTATGTTTAGAGCTGACTTCCAGGACGTTCGGAGGTAGTCATGGTCTGTATTCTCAAAAATTTAGGTCGTTGGTAGATTTTGCCACCTTTCAGCTTTGTGCTTCGCATCCTATTTATGTCGGGATGTGTCGAAACACTCAGAGGGGGCTCTTTGATCGGTGTAATGCAAATTGGAAGCGGGTCCTGAGGTTCTTGCAGTCTGTGGAACAGTCTTCAGATATAGTCGAGACTTCAGCAGGCAATGTACTATTTCTTTAATGGTTGCTTATATTTTTTAGTGAATGAGTTATCTGCTTGTTATCTAGGTAGGGTTTATGATAGAAATTAGGGTTTACGATAGAAAGTGAACTTTCTTATGATCTAGTTGTTGGTACCTGACAATGCTTGCAACCTCAGGGTAAGATGAAGACAGTTTGCAGTCTGCAGAGTTTCTTTTTCTTGTCTCTTTTTCTTTGCTTCTTTCCGCTCAGGGTATATATTACTAATAATTGGTCTGCAAATGGTTATAATATTATTTCCTATATGTGATATTGACTTTCATTAAAAAAGCTCATGATAAGAGTAAGTCTAACTGTGTTTTTTGTTATGAACAATAAAATATTGTTCACCGTTGTACTTGCTGTGTGGAATGAGATTGAACAGCTGCTGGTCATCACGGGTTATGCCCTAACTTGTAAAAAGCTCATGATAAGAGGAAGGCTAACTGTGTTTTTTGTTATGAGTAATAAAATCTTGTTCACCATTGTATTGAACTGTGTGGAGTGAGATTGAAGAGCAACCGGTTCACGGGCTACGCCCTAAAGTGGAAAATGATGATTGTCTCATGCTCACTGCTTTCTGTTGATGCTTTCTATGTTATACTAGAAGATTTTAAGTTGCTTACTACCTTTTTTAATCAGCAGATGCAAATCACAACTGGAAGGTATCATACATTGCTGATCAGCAACTCAACAGTGTACTCTTGTGGTTCCAGTTTATGTGGGGTACTTGGTCATGGCCCTGAGACAACACAATGTGTGGCGTTTTCACGTATTAATTTTCCAAACTCTGTGCAAGTGGCTCAAGTGTCAGCCTCTCACAACCATGCTGCATTTATTCTGCAGTCTGGAGAGGTACATAACTTTTATTTTTTCCCCTGTGCTGCTCCACTCTTATTTTCCCAATTTTTCCATAACAAAGAGTATACTTGGAGTACAGTAGCTTAATTAGTATGGACAAAGAGTGAACAACATCAAGGTATTAGATGTTTGGCCTATTTGCAATCTACTATAACGCTGAATATGGCTTCTGATCATGAACATTCTCATTTGGGAGATTGGCAAACTTTTGAAAAATGGAATTGAAAACAACTAGCCATGCAGATTTCATTAGTCTTATTTCACATCTAGGAATACTAAATTAAGAAAGTTTCCATATTTTCAATGTTCCTTGGTATAGGCTGAACTCTTTTAAAACCCAAGTATTCCATTATTTTCCGTTCATTTTTCTGTCCCTTGAATTTTATTTGATTTCGTATATCGAATAATTTTCTTGGTCTGTTCATGAGTTTTTCGAGGCTGCTACTTGTAGTGCAAGAGGATCTATTGATCCTGCTCACCTTGGGGGGTGTGGCTTGATGATCTCTTATTAAAAGAATTCTTTAGATTATTATGTTATTAGAATATGCTCTTTAATCTGTACCATTGTGGCATGTACCATTTATGCATGGAACTTTTAGACCTGTAGATGCTAAGATCTACAGAGTAGAGATTGCTTTAAGGCCAGTAGCTTTTGAACCAACTTTTAAGAATTCTCTATATTCTCTTGGCAGTGCCACTAAAATCATAACTAGGAGATAACCATTTTGGTTAATTCTGGGGTAATAGGTTGGATTTTGCAGAAACATGCTATTGCAGCATTGCATTTGTAAAATTTAGGTCATTATCATGTTGGGGCTTATTTCTTCACATTCTGGGATAATCCTTGCCAACAATAGTTGAATGAGAAATGCATCTGCAACATGGTGTTGTGTATAAGTACTCTATGTTATTGCTTAGCTTCCTTGATTTTCACTGGTAGGACTTGCGGGTGCTGTTAAGATGGTGTGGACCCCGTTGTTTGGGCTTTAAACATGAGTTTGGAATGCTTTTCTAGTTAGTATGATTTTTCAGATTACTTTTGTTTGAAGTCTGATGCACTTTGTTCTTGATAAAATTCTATTTTGTTGCTGAAAGTTTAATTTATGATAATATGATAATTCTTTCTTTCCTTCTCAAGTTACCAAATTTTTTTCATTAAACTATACTAGGTATTTGGATGTTGGGAATTATGCAGAGTTTAGAAATCAAAAAGTGAGTTTAAATGCATTTGGTTTGGTTTTGACTCTGCATAACCGTGTTTCGGCGGTATCAGACCAGTATGTCATGTCTTGCCTTTGTTTTTCCGGATGACTTGATCTTTCTGTCTTTGTCTTCTTGCAGATATAATAGATTCTTTTTCTGCAATCATGTAATCCTATGGTTCTTTCTTATATTTGAGTTCTTGTACATATAACATATGAATTTGTTTTATGGCTCCATGTTCATGGGGTTCACAATTACTAATGCAGGTTTTCACATGCGGAGATAATTCGTCATTTTGTTGTGGGCACAGAGATACTGGCCGTCCCATATTTAGACCTAGGCTTGTTGAAGCTCTGAAGGGAGCTCCCTGCAAACAGGTAGATAGCACATCCCTGTTTTTGCATTATGCATGAATACAGTTGCCTAAGATTGGTGAGACTTGTCCCATAGTTTACTTGTCAAATATAGACTCATTTAGTTTGTGTTTGATGTAAATTTTAAAAAGTTAAGTTAGTTTTACATCTGAGTTGTGTTTCTTTTCCTTCCTGCATTATGGTAGGAGAACAGGATGACTGATTTTGATCTCTTGTTAAGAATCTTAATCCTATCCAGAAAAGGAGTATAAAAGCTGCATTGCTTATCAACAGTCCGTAATTTTAGTTTTTTTTTTTCTTTTAAGATTGCCGAGTCAGCATTTTGGTCATTGTCTGCCATCCCTCACAAAATAGTTCCAAATACTTCTTATACTCTGGAGCCACTGTGTTAGTGTAATATTCAGTCATTAGATTGTCAGTTAGCAAGCTGGAGCACTTGCATGTTTATTTTTGTTATGTGCTGAATCATATTCATGTTTTCAGCATCTTGTGGAGTATTACGTTCTTCCAGTGGCAATCAGTTTTTGTTCTTTTTCCCCTTTGTATCTGATACCTATTTCTGGGTAGGGGATTCTACATTTTATCCCCATATTGGGGCAATAAAATGTTCCTTCTTTAGTGTGAAGAAACTGGCCATTTTTCACCTCGTTTGAGGACTTGATATTCCCAGCATTTGCCTTTATCTTTGTTGTAAGATTTCATGCAATATTAACAAGCTTACGCTTTTTCAGGTAGCTGCTGGGCTTAACTTTACTGTGTTTCTTACGAGACAAGGCCATGTATATACTTGTGGGACAAATGCACATGGCCAGCTTGGTCATGGTGATACTCTAGACAGACCAACACCTAAAATGATTGAACTTCTTGCGGAACTTGGCTCTGTAGTCCAGATTGCTGCTGGTCCAAGCTATGTCTTAGCTGTAACTAACAATGGTGCAGTTTACTCCTTTGGCTCTGGTTCTAATTTCTGTCTTGGGCATGGGGAGCAACATAATGAATTCCAACCCCGTGCAATCCAGACATTTAGGAGAAAGGGTATCCATGTTGTTCGAGTATCTGCTGGTGATGAGCATGCAGTAGCACTTGATTCAAATGGATTGGTAAGTTAAACTGTGTTTAGGCGGGGTTTTTACTTATCTTGATCATGTTTGATTTTCGTAAACTTAAGTCATGTTGGTCTGTGCCATTTTTTTAGGTATACACATGGGGTAAAGGTTACTGTGGAGCATTAGGCCATGGAGATGAGATTGACAAGACTCTTCCAGAACACTTGAATAGTCTTAACAGCCGCCTTGCTGTGCAGGTTAGCTTCATTCATGCACGTTTCTTTCTTCCTATTAAGAACTATCTTGAGCAAATTCTTAAAATGTTCAAGCATAGTTCCAGAACTCTGTTGGGCCAAATTTCATGTGCATGTAAGGCATTTGGGTTGAAACTTCTTCCTCCATTCCTTCTCAGTCATAAGTGGTTGTTTTCTCCTTGTTTCTCCTTGTTCTTTCTGGTATGGAGAAATCAAATATATATATATAAATGCATACATAAACACATATATAGATATATATCCATATATAAGCGTATAAGTATTAATAATATACACATACATATGTAAATACATACCATAAGGAATGAAAACTGAAAAATGTTATGTGCTAAAGGCAATCTAAGTTTGGGACTTCCAGTGTAATCAAGAATCCTTCTTATAACAGCATGCTGTTTTTATTTCTTCTGTTTGGTGCTACTTGTTTCCAAAAATTTGTGGGTAGAGGATGCAGTCAGTACATAATTGTTTTTTTTTTTTAGCAAGTCCAACACTCTTGGTAGATTGTTAATTTCTAGTTCTGAATCTTTTTTGTACGTGCAGATTTCTGATAATTAAATTTGAAGAGTCCTAGCTATATTGTTATCTGAAGTTCATAATTTTTTAAACAAAAAACTATTTTTGTCAGGGTAGTTTAATAACTTGAGTTATATGATCTGCTATCTCTTTGATGTCCTTATTGTTATTTCATTATCTTTTTGCATTTGTTCTTAACATCCTCAGATACAACCAATTACCTTGCTTACCATAACTTCTAGGTCTGTGCAAGAAAGAGGAAAACGTTCGTTCTTGTTGACGGGGGCTTTGTTTATGGTTTTGGGTGGATGGGCTTTGGTAGTCTTGGGTTTCCAGACAGGGGAGTATCTGACAAAGTCATGAGGCCTCGGATCCTTGATAGCTTGAGAGCCCACCGCGTCTCACAGATTAGCACAGGGCTTTACCATACTATTGTAGTCACTCAACGAGGACAATTATTTGGTTTTGGAGATAATGAACGAGCACAACTTGGACACGACACGCTGAGAGGATGCCTTGAGCCAACTGAAATTTTTCTTCCACAAGTAGAAGGTGACCCGGATGTTGTTTCAGAAAGTGCTTGAACCATTCACATCCTGGTAATGAATTGATTACTTAGTAGGTTTTATTTTTTTTTCTTTACATGTCTTGTAGAGTTGCATAAGAGATTTTTTAAATCATTAATGCATAATATATCTCTGCTGTGTTAATTGAAATTGAGAATTAGCATCATGATTATTTTTATAAGCTTCTTGGAAGATAATGAAAAGTTAAACTCCTTAAAGATGGGAATGAATAAGTGTCATGGTTGGGTTTTTCCCTGGAAATAATCTCTGCCTGGAGGTCTGCCATGGGAACTTCATTACAGTTTTTTATGTTTATTCTTTGGGACCATCCTTGAGATATTGATACATGATCTAGCCCCTCTTAAGAAATACACTACAAATTATTTCATCCTATGAACTTTTATTGGACCTTTCATATTCTTTGTTGGAAACTCTCAGTTCTATTCTGACTTGTTTGGCACATATATATACACACACACACACACACACACCAATATATATTTCATTAAAGGTCATAACTTAAGGTTTACTTCATTTACTCCAATCCATGAAGGTAGAGAAAATGGTTATATGTGTTAGGCAAACCTAATTTTACCCATAAACTTACCAATAAAAAGAATACCAAATTATCAAATAATTTCCGAATTTGAATACTTGGTTCGATTTAATTTCTAATTATTTTTATAATTTGGTTTTAAAATTTTTATTTTTTATACATAAAAATTCATATTTTAATTTGATGCATTAAAATTTACTGTTTTAAATTGTCATATTTTAATCAAACTAAAATTAGATGCATATTATTACAGCAAAATCCTTCTGTATTTTGTTCTTTAAAGAAGAAAAAAAAAAAAAAAATGTGGTTGTCCAATTTTTCAAGAGTCAATTCTCTTATAAGTCTCTGAATTTAGTTAGATATAGTATCAAAATATTCTTATAATACTGAAGTGTATAGTCTTTCAGAGGAAGAAATTGATGAATCCCACACAATCTTCTAGGTTATGAGCTATATAAGAAGATTCTCCATGACCAAATCCTTACAAATGATTTTAAAATTGATATATATTATATATATATATATATATATTTACGAGATTGTGATAAGGTGTAGAATATCATATAAATAAATATTTTATTTTAAGTTAAAATTAAATTAATTATTATTATAATTTATGATGCCAGATCTTAAGAGCAAATAGTATAACAACCAATTCTATATCATGAGTTGAAAGTATTTATCACTTATATAATTGTAATATTAAATTACAACGTACGTACGAGATAATTAAATCCTCGTATAATTGAAATTATGTAGAGTCAAAATTAAATATATACATTACTCGTGTAAAATAGAATACGGAAATTTTTATTTGAGTCTCTAATATCTATTTTCTTAATTATTTGAATTACTCGGTATCTGATAATTGTAGTGAAAATTGCGGCGTTACGAAATTTTTTTTAGGTAAAATTGAGATTATGAATGGATTATCAAATGTAATTAAATTTTATATATCAAATACTTCAAATTTAGTAATAAATAATACAGCCTCTTCAAAGTTGTTTCTTACAAAATGTATTGCTTTGAAATAAAAAAGAAATAATATTTTTCTGAAAAATAAAATAATCTTTAAATCTAACGTGTGTGTTGTTTATAAATTATGTATAAACAAATACATTAGATATAAATATAAATATAAATATACACACACACATTTATATATACACACATGATTACTGTGGAGAGAACAAGTTTTGTCTCTGACGAAATTTCACATGTCTGCTTACACCCATACATGACTCAGAGTAAAGAGTGCCTCGAAAACAGATCAAGTTCATGCCATATACATAATACGTATATATATATATATATATACACACACACATACACATTTATAATTAAAGACAAATAATTGAATAAATTATATAAGAACCCATGTGTATTAATCGATTTTCTCTCTCTTGAATTTTTCTATTTCCAAAATACCCT